GTAAAGAGATAAACATCCGGCTGTGCATGAAAGTAGTAGCTGGTATAATTTGAGTGACAGCTGGCATATCTTCGGCAAACGTGTCCCGATGAAGTAATCGAAAAGAGCTATTATCACTCAAAACTACTTCATCTTGTGCTGTTATATCTGTGTAATACAGCACTGATGAAGATCGCTAGTGTGTGACGCCGAATAAAGGAAATCACATAATTGGTTTGAATGATTGGTCGAGAAACGAATGAAAGTTTCTTAATATACAAGACAATAAACCAATCTTGTATATGACAGTAAGATATCGACGTTGGGACCTACATAATACGGGACACAGTATTTCGGAGCAGCCGCAACGGTGAGGCACAACTTTGATGATGCAACTTGAGACTATCCCTGAACATTGTTAATTGTTAATACGTAGACAACACCATTTCAAGCTTTTCTAAAAAATGCGAATAAAAGATGAAGACCTGGTTTCATCATAATGAAAAATCACATCACTACCAACTAACAAAAACTCTCGCTTAAAATAACATAATTTTTGGATGTAAAGTTACATTCATCTTAAAGCGATTAAATAACCAATAAGATGTGACATACTATTCCTCTTCTGATAATACACTTCGACTGCTGTCGCTGCTGCTAATCGTAATTACTGAAACTGCTGGAGACGGTTCGCTGTCGGTTAGCGTGATGGTATTCTGCTCCGAGCTTTCGGTTTCAGGTTCGCTGGACAGCTGCACCGCCAAAACACTGAAATCAAATCTTGAAATCAAAAGTCAAACAATTAATTCACTGTCACAGTAATAAACTTCTTTTCTCTCGCAAAACCTATATGATACACCTAAAATTTGTAGCCACGACAAATCTTTCTGAAAAGAAAAACATGCACTAATTGATTTTACAAATGCAATAAAATTGCGGCTGGATTCAACATCATAGCTAAAACTGAACGCATGGAGAAGAAAACCTTAATGAACAAACAGCACAACAACGGTTACATTATTCTTGGTTCATTACTGCCTGATGACCTACATGCCCATGTTTACCGTTCACAACATCTCCCGTTTAGCTCCTCGCCTAATCTAAGTTAAGGTCTTGCAAATTAACGCTTGCGCCGTCTTGGAAACAATATAGCATCGCTGAAGTCAATTTGGCATCTGTCAATCGAACAAACTCACATGTTCATTGTCTTCTTGCTCCTCTACTACATGACTGAGGGAATGTCCTTGGTTTCTTGGCGTCTACTTACCTCCTACGTCATTCATCACGACATGCATGATCGATATTCAGCTTCACTCTCAATCATTTTCTCTCTCGATCATCCACCGCTGTGCTGGACTCTCTGTGAAACTAGTCTTGCTTGCTTAATGCCCAGATATCGCAGTCGCGGTACCGTTCTGATTCAATACAGTCAACGGTTTACACTGGATTTATTAAACTTATCGCAATATAAACGTCTGCCAGAGAAACTAAGATCGTCTCATTGCCAAATACGTTACCAGATTGTGTTGAGTATGATAAAGACGTTTTTGCGTCGGTTTCACAGTATGACCAACAACGCATGAACCAGACGAAACTCAAATCTCACCATCATCGTACAGATATGTACAACAGAAACATATAACGCCACTGAACGTGTTATGAATGAATTACTTACATTACACGGAGAGAACATTTCGAGTGAAGAAAACTTCATATATTGTAAGGTGGTTCAATGCGCGTTTAGAAAACGAAAAGATTCAATTCCTCTTAATCACACCTTTGTTTTACTATATTTAAACTTGAAACGGAGAGCAGATTATGATGAAATCCGTACCGCCAAGATAAAGCAAATCAGTATTTCCCCATCCCTCGTTACCGTACTCATGAAAACATTCGATTTATCATGAAACCTGAAACGGTCAGCCAATGAGGCATTAAGATCCGGCAGCTGAAGAATGTCGCCATCCATGTAAATCTATAGAAGGTTACTTGGACAAAAATTACAAGGTTTGTGAACCAGTCGGCATATTACCTCTAAACAAACATCAAACGCTACACCACGCTGCATACATTCTCGATATGGAGTGATAATTGAACTTGGATTGACGCCTACTGTTTGATGATCTTAGTACAGCGCGCCCTGTATATTGCATACCTGTGGCTCAGATAAGAATCTAAAGTTGTTGTTTTCAAGACGAATCACCTGCGATATTGAGTAACTCGTCTAGGAATCAGGTAGTGAAGATGGCAGACATTAACAATCGCAATACCTCGAAGACAGTAACAAATTATCGAGTCATAGAGGAAAATGACCATAATCGAACGTACAGTATTCTAGAAAATTCTCACCTGAATGTGTACATGAATGTTTAATCGTGAATCAAAGGTCTACGTGTGTAAAGTTTGAAATGACATTGCACATCTTTGTCAGGAGAAAGGAAGATGTTATCACGGTGACATCCAAATAGACGAAGACGTTATAAAAATTACCTAACAAGCAAAGGCCATTCCTGCAATTTACGTTGTTGAAAAGGCTGCAAAAGAGTCAGTTTTTACATGAAAAACTAAAAAAGGACAGCTTCTAAAATATGGCTGCGCTCGAAGACGAAAACGCGTGATTCCATTTTCTGTTTACTCCCAATAAGTTCTCATCCACCGAATGAAGATGAAATGTAGTTCTTAGGCGCAGAACAGGTTGCACGACGTCAAAACACCGCATTTGCTTTTGCATCGTCATTACGAACATTAAACGAACATCTGCCTACTTTCTTAAACGTAGCTTAATGATGAAAACTAATTTATGCGTAATAAGATATATCCGCATTACGGATGCGTGAGGTGCCTTTAGAAATCAAAATGTTACAAAGGAGCTGTTCAGTGCCTAAATGACCCTCCCCCAACTCACTCACCCTGCTAAACAACTAGAAGCAAAGTGACGGTGAAAACTGAAATATACCACAATACATTTCGAAATAACAACGACAGTTTACGTCATTGGTCAATAGCCTCCATTAGTTAGACATGCAAATCAGTGAACTGGAAACACATAGTGACTAAGAACAAGGGCTACTGCATGCAAAACAAGTAATCTTACACAACTCCAGTACCGAAATACAAAAATGGTGCGAGTAGGAAAATAAAGCATTAGCAATGGGCAAAACATGACGCCAAACAAACGTAAAATTACGATGCAAAACGCTGCGCTGACGTTGAACAAAATTATCCAATGGACAACGTCGACGAGTTTTTGCCAAAGCAAAGTACCGAAGTCTGTTCAACGCTTATCATCGTGATGTTGCTGATTACATTCAGGAAAAAAACGCAAATGCACAAAAGCATCGAATAAAAAAGCACAGACAAAACTTTTTTTTGAGAAAACGTAGTCAGCAATAAAGTTTGTTACAAACTGGCGTTCAAAACCAAGGTTCGGCTTGTCACTGATTATCTTGGCAAAGTGTAGGCAGTCGGTGAAGGGAAGTTTCTTATTAAATATTAATAATACTTCAGGTTATTGATTCCGGGCTCACAGTTATACAGACAGATGCTTGAATGATTCTTACTTAAGGGTACCAAACATAACAACAGGTAGATAGTAGAACAACTTAGCTTGGCCTTGATGATGCTATGATCTATGCAGCAAAATGCGTCGGCAATAAGCTGTTCTACCGTCTGCTCTATTTGCTGCCCTTTACGATGTGTCATTCAAACACTCACCTACCCTAATCATTTAAATCAGTTAAGAAAAAATCTGCATATCTCTTAGACCGGAGATACGTAATCTCTAACGCTGTTCTGATGTCACCAGATAAAAGAAAAAATAAGCACAGCAACTAAGACATTTGTGCAAAAAACGTAAAAGATATGAGCATCACTTAATCAAGAATCATTAGAGTACTCTTATTACAAATATTTTGCAAGAAATTTACGTCTGAGGACGCTAACTCTACAACTGTACAGTCGCAGGAACAACACCATTTCTCGTTTCACATACTTGGCTCAATCCACGCAGACTGCATGCCGGAATACATCACACAAATGAAGACTTGCAACGATGGATGAGCAAAGAAACGGGGGCTGGAACCATAAGCAAATTATCATCCCACTGTTAGTAAATCAGGCATTTGAAAATTTATGAGGATTCAAAAAACATTTCCAAAATATGTTGAAAACAATTTGTGGATGATTTATCGACCAAGTTTAATCAGATGCCCAGTGAAGACTCGGACAAAGAGACAAAGAGCTGGAGAGGGAACTTTCCGGCGTCATCTTGCTATGAGCTAAAATGGCTTCGCATCGTCATTGGTGGAAGTTAAAGAAGGTTCGGTACATCAAAACCGAAACGTCGGTCCCATACGGTGAGGCGCAAAACAACAGTCTGCATGTCGTTCGGATAAAGACTAAGTTGCGATTGATGATCAGCAAATTCTTCTGGTAGACTGTCCATCATCTGTATAAGCGAAGATGGCTAAATGTACTGTAAAAAACCGGCATCTAATCAGTGAGAAAGACATCTTCTAGAAATGGCGGCAATACCTTAACGATCGCTTAAGTTTGGTTTCTGCAGACTCACACAATAGTCCCGAACTGTTTTTAGAAAAGAAGGTGGCCTTTAAATAGCTGAAAATTGACAACGCTGCAACTGCATCTGCTACAATAGACCTGAGAAGCTAAATGCCATGCTGAGTAATGATGGTATACTCTAGCCGACTAGGTATGCGAGGTTCGACGGGGTTCCGGAAATGCACCAAAACGGTACCAATCTGGTTTTACTGGTTTCTACTGTATCTAAGAAAAGGAATCAGATGAACTCATGCAACTGCAGTAGGCACCTCTTTGCATGGCAACCCAGTAAAGTCTATGCACACAACTCGGAAATAAGACACAAGAAAATGGTAAAGTAAAAAACTGGTGACGAGCCATTTGGGGTGGCTTGCGTGCCGACTGCAGCAGCATGAAAAACACATCCAATCGCCAATCACTTCTAACGGTTTGAAGAAAATTCTAGTAATATACGAACTATGCTTGTGACTGTTTCTTAAACCTGAACAGAGCATCTTCTAACTGAAGGAGTGAAAAGTAACGCAGCAGAAATATTGAATGATAGATTAGCAGCTACTGGTGGCCAACCAAATCGTTTCATATGGCTGCTTAGAAAAGCGTCTGTGTTACCGTTTTATTATATATTGCGTTGCAAACAAGCAAAACTTTATTTTGGTTTAACAGACAGACCAGGAAAAATAACACCTTTTCTCAAGCCGCTGCCAAGTACCTGAACGAACATGTCAGGCAAAAAAGATGAACTCATGAAGCATGAAAAAACACATCGAAAACAACAACATTTTTGCCATGAACAAAGACTAGGTCCATAACCTCGGTCCAAGAACTACTGGCCAACAACTATGCCGTTGTTCCCAAGTTTATATAAAAACTTCATCCGCATCATTCTCAACCGCGTTAGAAATGACCTCGAACAACTGATACATCGAAAACAAACCAGACAAGATTTAGTATTAGGTTTTTGTCATAAATCATGTAAATGTAGTGGCTCAGCAAGTAACGGACAAGTGCAACGAAAATCAATATCAATTCCGTTGTGTTGCACTTTCATCGACTACGCGACGGTGTTCGATTCGATCGAACCAGGGACAGCTGCGTTAAACGCCATGAATTATCATGACATGAATATTGTTCGCGTCAGCCTAGTGGAAGAGCTTAACCTCGCTCTCATGAAGAACCACGTTGAATCGGTATCCATCGAGAAGTATGTCCCGCAGACACCACTTCACCGAAGCAGTACCTCTTTGCAGAAAACTTGGAAACATTGCTCAACCCATTTAACTGCTACAACGGTATCAGAATCGCTGAAAGGCGTTTGCTCTTTGCACACGAATAGATCATCCCTCGACCGTCATGTGGAAGGCAAGAATTGGCTACAGTGGCAAATCAACAGAAAAAGGAAGGTGACATAGGTTAGCTTCAAGATTAATGAAACCTGGTACTCGAAAGAACTTCTCAGGAAGTTGACGAAAGCTCAATTCGAACCAATCGCCATGCTTTGTTCTATCTATAGAGCTGAATGCTGGTCCAATAATAAAGATGATGAGAACAAACTGGGGTCATTAAACGAGGCGATGGAGTGAATGTGCAACTGTTGCTGAACAAATGACACTTCCAATTCAAGAGCACAAAAATAATTCGACAACAAACGTGATCGATGTGCTCTATTACGCAAAGAAAAAATGGTTCGACGAAGAGATTAACCAGAGGGACAACTGAAAAACGCAAAAAATTAACAACTGGATAACGATGGATGATAAACCTCACGTCAGCCATCGACGGAAGAACAGAACAGAATGTTCGAATTTGGACGATGTAAACATGAACGACAACTCACATAAAAGACAACAAGCTGTGCTAAATTCGAAAGTATACAAACTGACCAACGAAACTTCATTTCCAATTAACGACCAATACAACTTAACGCTCCAGAACGGTTGGCATTAGCTTAAATGTTTAAATAAAGAAACAGCTCACAAATGTCTGAGCAACAAGCAGAAGTGAAACCTGGCATATGTCCTATAAAAGATACACCTTTTGTTAAGTTTTATGCAGACGCAGAACGAGCAATCTTAAACACATGAACAAGTGAAACAACTCACTTTTCAGCGTCACATGAATATCGATTAGCCAAAGAAGACTTCAGTTCCAAAGACGTTACGGAATCGTTCGTCGAATCACTCCTAAGAATTGAAAGACATTCTTTAGACGAGAAAAACTCAACAATAATTCACTTGCTTGAAACGCATTTATGAAAGCATGCAGTCATGATAGGAAACTTTCGAATAGTACGGTTAATGAACTACGTCCATAGTAATTATGGCATCTTACCTTGCAATGCGAAACGAGGCATGTCTAATTAGCAAGATGATTATGAAGCGAACTAGCAAAACATCTCTATCGATAGTTCAGAACAGTCACTGTAGCTGCTTCCTTCGGTTTATGATATCATAAATAAGGCGAAAGGAGCTAACAAAAGATCGTTGCTGTCTTTTGTCGCCATATCGCTCTTCATCAGGTCGCAAACAGAGGCGACAAATCCACTAGAGCAACCGTTGTGCGGTTTATTCATTGTTCTATTTGTTTTGTCCTCTGTTCATCTGCTGACGCATGCATCATATTATGCCTTCTCATCCTTTGATGCACATGCTTTACTTTTCAATCCGCCATTGCATTGCTTGCTATTTTCTCATGTATATGACTTCGGTAAATGCATATAATAGACCAACGTACTGCACCAGAAAGACGGCAGTTTTCAACGCGTGTCTTTACGCCGCGCATGCTGTGGGAAAATCTATCTGCCTGACTTCAGCAGAGAAATGATCAATTC